ATCCATCTTTGCCTGGGTTTTTCTAGCAGTTTCTTGCTTTGGGCCAGCAACACCTAAAGAGAAAACCATCTGCATCTGGCTTCAAATCAAGCACGCTGTGTCGTGAGTACAGAGGACCATTGAGCAGTTCGAAACAATTATTTGGCCCTTAATTAGTCTGGAAAGGAATAAATGATATACTGTCCAGGATATGTGTGCTGCACAAAGGATCTCCTTAACACTGACACGGGGTCAAAAACTCGCCCTGCATATTTTGTTTTATCTCCCATGTTGTTATCAGACATTAGAGCTGATTTACAGAGTCCTTTCCACAAAGTGCGCATTTACAGGCTGAAGTGGCACATGCAGTTGCAGGGTCACTGCTTTTCTCCACAGTCCAGCTAACTCAGATTCCTTCCTCAGCGCCACGGCAATAGGCGCACACAAGAAGCCACTTTTTCTCACCGCCACTTATCTGATTGAGTCGGACATGACCTCAGGATTGCCACTTAAAGGTGAGTAATTAACGACATGCTGAGACCCCAGGAAAAAAAGTTACATGATTACTGATGGGAGCGGGTGATGTCAGTGTCTCGAGACTCATGGCTGCCATGTAGCTAGGTGATGACTCAGAGGCACATCTGTTAGAAAATTTGAATGACCTTAGTTTGATAGCATCTTTCAGGACAACCAGCTGTAACATTTATAAATTAAGCACACCAGAAGTTATGCAATTTGTTCAATTTGGCATGGATTCAATCACCTATATAGGCTTTTAATTGGCCTCATGAATCACTTTACACACCGTGACAAAAAGGCACAATTTACCTATCCATATAAATTACTTTAGAAGAAGAGCTGTCCAGATATAAAGAGACTAATGAAAGAAAGCTGCTAGCCAGCTGTATTCAACCTTTAACCCCATCATAAAGTTGGTTGGCTTAACAAAAAGAACCTTTTAATGACCTTGGATGTGGAGGCACGCTGCTATCAGGCTGCAGATGTTAGGCCCCATTCGATTAGGACTTTTCTCTAAAACCAGCACAGAATGGTGTATTTTCTTTTAAAAATGCAACAGTAGAGTTTTTTCATGGTCCCCTGTTCCACCAAGAATGGAAGGAAAACATCTGGAAGATATTTTTTCGGGGTTTTTGGAGGGCTTAGCAGACAGGACAATGGAACTTATCGAATCCAGATGTTAAGGCGCTCAGTAAAACAGCAAGGCCTTATTCTGTTCATTCCTTTCAAATGTACATAAGGGTAAAACAAATGCCAACTCCTACTAAATATATAGCTTCATTCTTGAATTATGACCACATTTCCTTATTTCTTAGCATATCCAGTGGTCCTTTCATTGCTGCCCTCTATTAGCATCAGTAGCTTTGGTCAAAATCCATCCTTGTTTTCATTTGCACAAGGTATTCAAAGAATGTTATTTCAGTATTTTTGATGACCAAAGTGCTCGACGCGGGTAAGTTCTGGTCCTGCGTGGATGTTTGTTACAGATAAACTTTTGGTTAATTAATGATAACAAACCACAGCGCAAAGAGTCAAAACTGATTTTCTACGATTTATGAAAAGAGTTCATTGATGGAGGAAACTAAGTAGAAAAAGCAACTCAGCAAAAAACACAAAGGAAACCACTTGGAGAAGAAGGTATATTTGGTCTACAGCGGTTATGCCGATCTTTAAACTACAAAGCAACTGAGGTCCCCCACTAGGAGGCCAGGGTGTCTATTACATATAAATGGATGTTATTCAGTCAGACATCTGGAAACATCAACTAGCTAAAAACAAGAAAGACAAAGCACCTAAATCAGTTTAAATTCTGCATCTCAGGCTAACGATGCCAATCGGACCGTTTAGTCCAACAAGAGGAAAATTGTTGCAGAAATACTATTCTTAATTAGAATTACCGCCTTGCTTTACTTCCATGTCTGTCCAAAATGTCCTCACGCCATCATTTTATTCTATTAGATATTTGTGTGAAATTGTCATAATTAGCATATGAATTATTGAGTTTCAGTCACCTTGACCAAATTCTGATCGGTACATCCTATAGCCCATGTGGAAGTTTGTGCGAGACGTAATGAAATTCCCTCCAGGCATTCCTGAGACACTGTGTTCAAGTTAACGGGGCGGACGGATAACCCGAAAGCATAATGCCTTTGACACGGCCGCCCGCGCAAGAGTCAGACTCCAAGGCTCAGCGGAGAATTTACTGGTACAAGGAGCAGTGGAGCTTCAACAGCAAGAATTCCTTTCTTCAGGCAATGAAACTGTAAACCTGACAGCAGTGGCAATCCCAAAGTTCCGGCCTTCACCTTCGAACTCTGACCCCTCTTCTCATTCTTAACCTCGATGTCCTATAGGCCTCCTGTTAATACCACTTGTCACATAGGATAAAAAGTAAGGTTTCCTTATCAATGCCAAGGACAGATGAACTCTGTGAAGAACTGGGGACCATGACTCAGTCTTGACTTGCATTTCCTGCGCTGATCCTCAACCTAAGGTTGCTGTTAACTTCAAACGATTTGGTAGTGTGCAAAAAATGTTTTATTCATACATGTTGAGAAGGTACTGCAACTCTGGAGGTATATCTCAATCGTTATTATTTGTCTGTCAGTAGGCCTATGTAAAATGATATGCTATCATTTTGGGCAGGCTAACCATTTAACAGGCTAATGAGCTAAGCTACATTGGACTGCAGACTTATCGTTTTAATTACACCAGTACAACCTTGGAGCTAAAGTTACAAAATATATTCAAAATATAAATCAGAAGGCAGCTGTTTTCCGTGAAAAAGCTCAGGTAAATCAACCATAGCCTACACCTGCCTGGCTGCCCAACACCTGCCAGGACACAGACTACATTAGCAACTTGCTAGCTACTTAGCACAGGGGAACCTTTCAGCTAAAGAGCTGCATTTGGAAATAGGCCGCTGTTTGCTAACACATTGAACTTTACAATATGATTGTCAGTGTCGGGTTTTAAACTTGATCTGCTTCCTCCAGGTGGTGAAAAAATCATCACCAGCATGAATACAGCTTTATAAACTATAAAATCTGCTATAGTATATACTATATACACTATACAAAAGCATCATTAAATGGAACATGTAACAGCAGCTCTCTAAACTGTGTCGACTGTTTTATTATAGCTACCCAATAATACGACAAATAATTTTGCTATACCTGCATTTGAATGCAAGTATACTGTGTATAGAGTTGACAAGTCCCAGATAACCAGTGCTGGTGAGTTTGGCAGGCCTCTACAAGCTTGAATGTAGGTCCTCCCTGAGGCTAAGAGGTCATGTGGCTTGAGTCAAAATTAATCTTTTACTGCTGACAAACTCGCTAAGTGTTTGCAATTACCGTTTGTATGGGGAAGGCTCATACCAAAATGTATTATTTTATCATAATTCCACATTAGGGTGAGTATTAAAGCAAAAACTGAGTTAGTTGCATGTCGAATAAAACTAAAATGTAGCTGGCATGTTGCTTGTCATCAAGTATTTCCCACTATGTCAAGTTTCAAAAAAAGACTGTGGTTGCTCTCTGTCGGAATTATGAGCTGATCAGATCCAGCTTGCAGCATCAAAATGGTTTCAGTCCCAATTTCTTTTATGTCCCACCAAAACTCAAGTCCATCTCCTCCCCCGTCATTAAAAATGACCCATATATGGATGCAACGGTTATAAAGTGACCTAAGCTGTGTTCAGTTAACAACCATTGGTTATAGGCAACATGAAAATAAACAGGCTGCAGTAAATCCTTTATATGTTTAACAGGACAGCCCAAATATGAGCTTGTAAAGCCACTTCAGCTGCATCTGCTTTTTATTACAATCATTTTCAACAGTGTGGACTGACTGAGCTTCAAATTGAGCCTCCGACTTGGTCCACACCATCAGCACAATCTTGGACACTTTCTAACTGTCCGTGAAGCAGACGGAATAAACCACCTGTTCACCTCAAAGCCCCGTGTTAGAGCCCCGCGGCAGACAACAGAAGCACCAACCATGCCAGGCAGTCTTGAAGGTGCTAATAATACATGTAGGCCAGACCCCGGACCCACTACCACAGCGCTGCGTGACCTCTGAGCACCCATGGGACACAACAGCACCACACAGAAGGGTCTAATGATAAAAGAAAAGAAATCTCGTCTTCCTTCCAGCCTTATTCGCAGACTGGGTTTAATTAATTAACTGATATTTAAGTGGCATGCTAAACTTTTACGTTCATATTGTCACACTCTTAGTTACATAACTGTTACCGAGAAGCATGTGGAGAATTTGAAGAATGCAATTCATGAACCATATGGGGGTTTTGAGCCTAAGTAAAGGGCACTTGTGCTTCAGAAACTGTAGTTCTGATGTCAGTCTTTAAGGCGGCTCCACCCTACCACTCCAGATGAGCTGCAGCCCCTCCTTCTCATGAAAGTTATGCTCACACCTCTCATCAGTTAAAAAAAAAAAAAAAAAACTAGAGATAAAGCACTTTTAAACTGTCTTGAGCTGCTCTACAGAAAAGTTGTAATTACAGCTTAATAATAAGTCTGCAAAATGCCAAAAAGAAAAAGAAACGTGATATCTTCTTCAAGTGACATCTGAAAGAGACATTGTATTTGTAATTCAGGGACATAGTGTGCAGTTAACCCTTTCACCATCCTATGCGTGTAAACTTTGCCACAACAAGCCCTTAAGCTTATTTATGGCCTAGATCTATATATTTATCAGCTGCTGGATGTTTTTTTGCAAAACATTTTTGCACAACTTCACTGCAGCGGAGTACCAGTTCCCCAGACACAATATAAGTGGCCAGTCCTATATGAGCCTCTCTCAAAAGAGTCTTTTGATACACTGACAAGTCCTATAGTTTTCAAACAGACCAAACTGCATACATTACAAAAAGGCACAAAGATGAGTTTAGGAGGAGGGGCGGTCATCACAGTGAAAAACTTTCTTTTTTTTTTGCAGCGCAGCTCCAAACTGCACGCGCAGATCTCACAGCTCCATCTTACCTGAACTTGCTTGCGATGTGACAAAAAGCAGAATCACCGCTAAAGTGATTTGGGCGTCCCTTATCCTCCGTTTAACTTTCCACCTTATATGGGTATCCATGACCGCCAGAGACGTCCACGGCAAGTGGATTCACCTTTTCTTTTCAACTTGGAGCAAATAATTACACTTGCAACAGCTTCTGGTCAGGACAAAACTAAAAAAAGCCAAAAGTCCCAGAGAAAGAGAGAAAAAAGGGGGAGGGGGGGTGTATCGTTATTTCTCAAGCAGCCATAAGGGTTTGTTGGTGTGCGTTCATCCAGCTAGTTGACGGATGGGCGCCGTCTCTCCCGCACTGTTCCTCTCCGCGCTGCGTTTCTGAACTGTCCTGCACCGCTGCGCCTCCGTTCAGAAGTGTTGCCCACTCTTTCGGTCGTCACGTAAAGCCCCCTTCAAGTCCAACGGGGCAACACAGAGAAGGGGAAAAAAGAAAAAGTCTCTCCCCCCCCCCTCCTAGGCTGTCACTCACTCCGCGGACAGGAAACCCGGGCAAATCAGAGGAGTCCATACATTAGAGCCGGTCCTGTTATTGGCCGTGGGTGGGGAGGGAAAGTTGAGGGGAAAGTTTTCACGCCTACAATTCTTGCGCTCTGAATCCTTTTACAAGGAGTCGCTATTTCCAGAGGAGTAGAGTCAGAGCGGGAAAAAAGTAAGCTGCTCCTGAGACAAATGATGAAGGAAAAAGGCATGCAGTTGAATAACTTTCTTGTGTGTGTAGTTGGGATTCTTTAATCTGGATCTAATAGCCTGGGAGTGTGGGGGACATTTGGTATCAACAGGTGGGCACCGCTTAACCCAGTATGTACCTCCACATGTTAGGGTTGGGCCAGTATTCTATTGATGATCTATTACTGAAAAGTTATTAAGATTTTGTATTTATTTCATGTAACCAGCCATGTTGTTGTTTCAAAAATGATTGTTGAATACTATTATTACTAACTTTATCTTTATTATTTAAAAATCACCAAACTGGGTAACTGGTGGACCCACAGAGGCTCCCACAAGCCCAAGGTTCACTGCATGTCCGTTGGTTTTTGGTACTTTGCCAGTCAATAGTGCTGCACGGCTGTCGTATCTTGTTTGGCCCACAAGACCAGCAAGATAATCATAAACGAACACCAATTTACACTTGAAACGCAATTGGAAACTAACGTTAGGCTATAAACGAACTACATCGTGGTCGCATGAGTGCGAGTATACAAGCCGGACTAGTCGGCGCGATGCAACCCCCTTTTTTATGACACGTAAAGCTCTGAAATTCATTTAGGGCTTTCCATTGATGTATTTTATATCATAGAACATCATTATAAAATCTCTCAAGGTCGTAACCACAGACCTTATTTCAGGCACCCAATGAACCCATTGACTTTGAGACGAGGGAACCGGATGTGCAACAAAAGCCGACTCATTCCTACAGCACTCTGCAAGCTGGAGGATGAGTAACCTTGACTCCCAATGGATAACTGAAGCGCACCTGCAATACAAGTTATGCTCTGGCAAGAAAGTCCAGCATTTGGTCATTGGACATGCTCAACTAAAGAAAAGAATGAACACTAAACTCCACGTAAAAGCAGTAGTTATGTTTGATTAATCAGGTGTTACAGGATGTACCAGTTGGCTTTAACTGATCAGTGCCAAGAACACATTTTTTTCCAGGTGGCAGAAAAAGTGTACCTCCCGTGCACTTGCTATACTGTGAAATTCTCCCTTCAAAATTTGTATTTTATTACATTTGAGAAAGTTCAACTCCCAAATCAGATTTTTGTACCTTAGGAAGATTCAATTTCAGCATGAAATATTGTACTCTTGTTATATAATACAAAAATGTAAAGGGAACTCTAAATAGTTCATCAACCAACCAACGTTAAAAGCCAACCTCTCATGGAAGCGGTGATCAAGTACAATGTGATATATCACTGTGGTCTTTTATACAGTGAGAATGGTTACAACATTGGAAAAGCAGCTCATATATGACCTAATCACAAAAAAAAATGTCAAATATGATCTACACTGAAGAACATTGTCTCAAGAACGGCCAAATAAGGCAGCTGTCTTTTATAAGCTGTCATATGGCTGTTCCAGTGGGGGGGGACTTCCATTAACAGCCCAGTAAAAGTTGGCTTTAGCACAATAAACAAAACAGCACGATATTGTGGCCACATCTGACATCCAGTCACATTCTGAGGTGTTAAGTTGGACCATCTTAAAAACTCTAAGCTTTGGAGCATAGAGTTAAAGAAGAGACCAACTATAACAGGGCTGGTCCATATCTGCATTCGCATTTCGAAAGGCCCTTGTGTAAGAATCAGACAAGCGGCAACATTGACAGACAGAGACACCTATAGCAAAAAGAAAAGCACACACCTGCAAACCCCTGTCAGATGTCATCAGTACAAGCTGCAACTATTTGTGCTGTATGATCACGTCGAAGCATATCAACCTTCTGCCTTCGCAGCAATTTCACCTTGGGTCACCCCTGTTACCATGTGTTTACAGTCTGTTGGTTTTTTAAAGGCGTTAAATGTTTGAATCAATTATATCACATGAAGAGCTTGTCCTCAAAAAGGGGAGAGGATGTTTACATCACAAATACACCAGCCTTTCTGAATGGACCACTTTGCCATATAATGGTTACTTGGTCAGATATATGGTTTAAATTATGGCCTGCGCCCTGTATTTAGGGTGGCTTTATACCTACACCACACTAATCTCAAAGCTCTGTAACTACTCCTGTACAAGGCTTCCACTCGCTCCCTTAAACTGTCTTCTAACCAGAAACATGGTGTTTCATGAGGCTGGACCATTGGTGGTTATGTCTCATTTGAGGACTTTCGGACAGAACATTCTTACACTAAATAAGTCCATGCGAGACAAAAGATGCAGGTAAGTGAAGGTAAGAGAGAACCTTCTTCAATCCATCATTATTATTGTCCACTGTTAAAGCAACACCTACAGATGATTGGACTCATCTGAGAAATTCCAGTTTTCTCGGCACATACACACCAGGAACAGTTAGAATCAGCTCTTTCCAGGTTCAAACTTAGTAATAACATAAGTGTTTCGTGAAGGGAGATCACTAAATTAAAGCCGGTTGCATACAAATTGTCTTAGTCTTATGTAAAGACTTGTTGGAATATTCGCATAGCTGTCCATGGTAACCCTCGATTTGGGAAACTCTGGCGAGATAGTTGAGGTTAGGCATTGACCTCAATTGGTTAAGGTTAGGATAGGTTGTCGGGCCACGTGTCTCGCAACAGTTTTTGCAAATCTAGGGTGACAAAAGACACTTCTTAGAATGGCAGAACTTGCATTTTTAAGTTTTCTTCAATATCAAAGTAATCCAGTTGTCTGTACATTCATGGGTACTTTGCAAACAGGCATTAGCTATTTCGTCATTCTTACTAAATATTTAATGGTGCCAATTTGCCAAAATGTAAACATTGCGCAAGTTGTTACCCGCAGCCAGCGTTAGCCAACTTACCAACGCCATGGCTATATTGTACTTCCTGTTTATATGAGACCTGGTTTTGAATAGAAATTGGTTAAAAAGTTGGTGCAACCCGATCCAGGTCGGCCACCATGGAAAGGCAGACACAAGACACATTCTTTGAATACTTAAAATTTTGCTGACGCCATCATAACTATTTTCTGTTGAAGTTCTTGACTTGAAACAAATGCCTGCATTTTAGCATATTGCAACGGTTAGAATGGTGTTTTTTTAAGGTTTTAATTGGACATTAGCGTCTTAAAATCTATGGAGGATTTTACTAGCACATCTTTATTGGCAAGATTGTAAAGAAGAGACAACACAAACAACAGCTTGCATCTGCAGGTCCTCTTCCTCCTCAGGTTCCCTGTAAATCGAAACATTTCATTTGTCAAGAACTCGTAAACTTTCGACAAGTTAAATTACACATTTAAACTTTGCGATTTCTTGCAGTCTTTTATGACCTTTTCAATCATTTCCCAAACACATACCCTGCATCAAAATATAGCTCTCTAGAGTTGTGATGGAGATGAATTACAGAATGAAGTTGATTCTGTGGTGTCACTTTAATGATAGATTATAGAGGAGCCAGAAGGAGGAAACTCAAATACAGTACTACAAAAGACCAGATAAATTGTGAATCCTGGCACTGAGCAGCTCCTGGCAGCTTCAAACAGAGATTAGATTTTCTTTTCACAATGTAGGATGTTGTGCTGAAGATCAACAATCTGGCAGTAACAAAAGGTATTTGAAATACCGTTTCGCAGTGTGAATCTGCATGTTTCCGTCTCTTGTGTTGTTTGCTCTTTGGCATAGAAGCAATAAAGAAGGCGAGTGTAAAAAGAGGCAAACCCAATAGCTGACTTTCTCTTTCAGAAAAAAAAATAGAAAAAGACAGCGTGAGTCGACGCGGCAGTTTTGTATTTCAAACCACAATCAAAGATAATTAAGACAGACAGCCATCTGAAACACAAATGTGCAATATCCAGATTACTTTGCAGATCTTTTTTTCTCAATTTGTAGTGTTGCGTTATTAGATTATCAAGACTTTGCAGAATGAATATATTAAAAACTGTGTAAAAAATAGTTTTTCTAATATTGAAGAAAGTTAATATTAGAAAAATGTTAAGGTTAGATATACACTTGGAATAATGACAAAGCAATGTCTGTCATCAGAGAAGAAAAACACACCGGTGTTTAAGGAGTCAGTTGCACCTGTCTGCTCACGCTCCCCGCTGCAGCTCATCGACATGTTGTATTGGAAAAGATTTGAAAGCACAGATTTCCTCTTCTACAATTACGCAGGCCAAAAGTATTGATGCCAGGCATGACTCAATCAATGAGTATTAACGATACTAAACACAACATGACAACCATGCATGCATGGCCTTGTACTGTAAGTCCTGCAAAAATAAGTTTGAAGCAGGGAGGATCAGGGAGCATTACCCTTTGTGCTAACAGTGAACTGTTGCTCTAATCCTCAAAAGGTTGCAGAGACAACGTGCTTTTGTAAGAGAGCATCATGAGTTTGGTTTATACCCATGTGGCAAAGGCAAACTCTTGTGTTCTCCATGATCCTTGAGTTCAGTGGGGCCGTGACCTTCTTCCTGTTTTAACAATACAGAGCTTGATCCATCTTGTGCTATTCAAGAAATGCAGAACATCTGCTTACAGTCTTCGAAAGTGTTCTGAGAACTCCCTGATAACAATCGTCAGCCAGTTGTTTCTCATTGTTAAGCTAGTGCCTGTTACATATTTATTTAACCTTTACTTTATCAGGTTAGTCCCGTTGAGATTTTAAATCTTTTTTTTTCCAAAGGAGTCCTGGTCTAGATGGCAGCATAAAAGGTTCACATTAAAGCACAAATAAGAGAACAATTGACGTAACAATGTTTGCATAAAGAGACAAGTTACAGCAGTGGTGTAAGGTAGTTACAACTGGCCCAAGTGCACTCTATTATGATGGACCCTGGTTACTTACTGCCACTTTTATGTGTGAAACT